GTTCCCTAAAATAAACCATATACTAGCACATAGAACATGCTTCAGTAAATGCAAAGGATCTGAAATTATCCCATTCTTACTATCAAATCATACTGCAATGAAATTGGAAATTAATGACAAAAAAAATTACAAAAACTCCACAAATACATTGAAATTATATAACACCCTCCTGAAAAACCAATGGGTCACAATGAAATTAAAGAAGAAATTAAACAATATGTACCCTCAAATGAAAATGCAGACTCATCATACAACAACCTGTGAGATGCAATGAAAGCAAACCTCAGAGGGAAATTTATAGTGGTGAATTCCCAAATTAGGCAAACAGAATGAGTACAAATAAACAATCTTATGCTGTACCTCAAGCTTCTAGAATAAGAGCAAGTCAAGCTAAAAGCCCAACGAAGGCAGGAAATTGTAAAGATCAGAGCAGAAATTAATGCAATAGAGACTAGGAAAACAATACAAAGAGTTAATAACTTGAAGAGTTGGTGCATTGAAAGAATAAATAAAAGAGATAAACCCCTAGCCAATCTTATCAAAAACAGGAAATAAAAAACTCAAATCTATGCAATAAGCAATGAAAGTCATGAAATCACTACAGATCATGTAGAAATTCAGATGATCATCAATACCTATCTCAATCTTTACTCTCATTGGATGGAAAATGCAGAAGAAATGGACAGACTCCTGGATACATGCAAATTACCAAAGCTGAATCAAGAAGATTTAAAAATCTTCAATAACCCAATATCAGCCAATGAAATTGAAATGTAATAAAAAAAACTTACAAACAAAAAAAGCCCAGGTCCTGATGGATTCACAGCTGAATTCTACAAGAAATTTAGAAAAGATTTAATGCCAATTCTTCTCAAACTCTTTTCTGAAATTGAAAGTGAAGCAATTCTCCCTAACTCATTTTTGGAGGCAAGTATTACCCAGATAATAAAACCAAAGAAAGGTCAAACCAAAAAAGAGAACTAGAAACCACTCTACCTAACGCACATAGATGCAGAAATGCTCAATAAAACACTAGCAAACACAATGCAGCAAATCATGAAGAGGATTATATACCATGACCATGTGGGATTTAACCCAGGAATGTAGGGATAGTTCAATATATGCAAGTCAATTAATGTAATACACTATATCAACAGAGACAAAGCCCAAAATTATT